ACAGAAGAAATGGAAAGGAATTACAAACAAATCACTAACATGGTTATAAGCTCAGAATTAATTGCACGGGCAAACCTTTTTTTATTATTATTATAATACAAACATCACATATCCCTTGGTTGACCTAATCCTGTTAAGAATAGCTTACTGTAGTTTAGCTCAAATAGGTAAGCCATAGGAAAAATAGTTCCCTATAACAAATTGTTCTTGTTTTAACCATTTAGATCATCAGACATGTTTCAATTATAAGATATTGTAGTTTTCCATTTGGTAACTTTTTTGGTGTTGTCTCCATATTTCCTGCCTTCAATCATATCAGACTCCTCCGACGTTAACTCCTTGTGTCATTGCATTTCCTGCTGTTGTTTGTTCACCTCGTCTTCACATTCATTAAATGTTTTATTTCGACCAAATATATTTGAAATTCATGCTACCATACTACCTCTTATTGGCCTGTGAAGTCCGTACCTGAGGGACACCAAAGTTGGTGCGTGTACCACGAAAATAAGGCACGTCAGATAGGATTAGAAGTCTCTCTAACCATGGTATAAGTAAGTTTAACCACAATAGATTAATTTATTTTGGAAAAAAATTCTGCTCAAAGAAACTACTATTTGAAAACAGCAAACCAATTTACTAAGCTTATCTTTTTTCTGTCAAATAAAGTTAATTTGATGACCTGAGGCAGTGTGACAAAACAAAACAAACTAAGGAAAATCTTTCAAGAATCATCATCATCATGGTACTGTAAGATGAAGCTGTGTTGTTCTCTTTTCAGTTTTATAAGTCACTGTGTCAGTACCTGGTGTAATACCAGAATAAAGTCCACATTTCCTTTAAAGTCACTGGTTGTGCTACTTGTTTGAGACCCCACACACAGTGTCTCTGTGTGAGACTGTCTTCAGCACATCAGTCTGAGCTTTTGAGAATGAACATCAGACATCCGACGGTCATTGCTATTCCCGGCGTTTCGTCTCCTACTCTTGTTTATCTTGTTGCTGAGCCGAGAGCAACCTGCCAAGCTGTGTGTCTGTGCATATGTGTGTGTTTGTGTCTATGGTTACTGCACACACCCACACCTGGCTGCTCATAAGGGGAAGTCGGCTGAAGCAGTACTGTTGACATGAGGAGGAACAAGCACACAGGCGCACACTGGCTCCACTGCTTCTTGTTCTTCCAAAGTCAACTCCGGACGTAGATGTTGTAATATGGGACCTGCTGCGACGGCGGGATCCCTGATGGTAGTTTCAACCCACACACTCCTGCAGCCGCAGGCTCCCCTCGGTGACAGAGCTTGTTTGCTGTTCTTCCTGTCTGTTGCACCTGCAGCATTAAGACCTTTGGATAGAAAGGTCAAGGATGCTGAAGAAATTCTTTGTTTGTTTTCCCTCCTAACATGCTCACACAGCTACAATCACAGACAAGGACTGTTTATGGGGTTGTTGTTATTTTGTCTAACTTTTTTAGGTTCTCATGAACAGGATGTCTCAGTAGGGCCTGTGTTCATCTGTAAGAGGAGATCTTCTGTGAAACTGTACTACTTTGGATTTCTTAGTATGCATACAGATTCCAAATTAAAAAGACTCTGGGTATTCAATACCCAGAGTCTTTTTATATCTACAGGTATCACCATATTTACACACAAAGTTAAGCCAAAAATTATCTGTTCAGGAACTAAACAACATATATGCTAAATGATCAAATATTTAGATTATTATGGTTTCATAATCATCATTTTTATATGTATGTGTTACTCTTTTTAATATGAAAAATGCTCAGTTAAGGATAAAGTTTAAAAAACAAATTGTATTGTAGGTCTGAAGTACTTGCTGTACAAAACATTAAACCTTTTTTAATAATTATGACTTTCACAGTTTAACACCAATTTATCAGGGTCAGTTTATAAATTGTTATTCACTTAACTCATCACCTTCTACTCAAGTAGCTATGTTACCAACTGTAATACAATCTTCCCTTTAGCAACAGCACTTGCTAAAGGAAGGACATTAGAAAGAAATATATATAACTGTCTCGCTTACAAGCAAATGGGAATGTGCCGCATAGCTGTGTCAGCCAGCTGATTGTCAGTGCACAGTGAAAAATAAGGGATAAAAAATAAGGGATACAGTATCTGCACCTCATAAATTTTTTTATCTTTCAAGCTACAGAAATAGTCAGTCACTCAGGCTCTTACTTTGACAACTGCATGTGGCTCAATACAAGTCTTGTCATAGTTTTATTTCACAGAAATATTTTCATCATCATAGCATAGTTCATTTGGTAATAGAAATGCTTTCAAAGGAGAGTTTGTTGAAAAGTTTGTAGTTTTGATATGTTTTTATTCCATTCAACCATTTTTTGTCACATTTGGCTGTGCTGGGGTCGCGAGGGATGCTGGTGACTACAGTATATCCATCTGTCTATAGGCGAGAGGCGGGGTACACCCTGGACAGGTCACCAGTCCATCTCAGGGCAACAGAGAGCTAAACAGGACAAACAACATTCACACCTAAAGAGAATTTAGAGAAACCAATTAACCTAACAGTCATGTTTTTGGACTGTGGGAGTAGAGAACCCAGGCATTCTCATGGAGAACATGCAAACTCCATGCAGAAAGACCCCGGGCCAGGAATCGAACCTAGAACATTATTTTTGCAAGGCAATGTTTTTCATTGATTTATTGAAATACTTTGGACACTAAAAACTTTTTTAGTTCACTACAATAGTTAGACATTTTCAAAACCTGTATAACAAAATTAACCCAACAAAGTAGATAATCCAGATCCTGATTCTTGGACATTTGTCAACTTTTTTTTTTAAATAGATCACAAGTCCATCAAATGATTCCTGTAATTTGAAATCTTTGAAAGAAAGTCACAGGGAGCGATGGATTGTTGAAGGTGATTATTAAACAGTAGCTTGGGTGACTTTGCATCATCTCAGTATTACCTAAAACAAATAACCAAATTATAATAAGTTCACATTTTAACTTTTGCAGTACAGACGTTCTATCTTATGAAAAAGGTTAAGAATTGCATCATTTTGTTTTCCAAGTCTATAAATCTATGAAAAGGATCGAAATTGAAAGTTAGGTCAGAAAATGATCTTTAGGCCTTAAGGCTTTTTTTTTTTTTAATTCTTCTAAGTCTGTAATATTACTGACATTTGAAAAGGGTGAATAGTCAGAACCTTGTGTTTCCAGAAGGAGTATGCAAATATGGGGAATTACTTATATCAGGTGGTACCAGCATTTATGTAAAACCTCACAAATTATTTAGCCATTTATTTTCTTTGAGTTAAAGTAATTTCAATGAGATGCCAGGGGAAATGCAAGAGTGAGTGTAGCTTTGAACGTAGAACTTAGAGAAAGTCCAACCTGTTCCTGCCAGATCTGTACTGCCAGTAAGCTAGCTGAAACATGGCTAATGATCTCCTTTAATCTAAAAAGATATTGTCTATTTCAGACTATTTTCATTCTGAACATATATATTGTTATATATACAGTTGCTTGGAAACTGAAGTAAGTCCACCCATCATTCTTATCCTTAGGCAGACTTTTCTATTAACAATACCTTGCAACAAGCCACAATTTACTAAGCCTAAATTAGATGAGCTAATGGACACTTTATTTCTGACTTATGTATAAATGTATTTACTCCTTGAATTCTGACTGATTCGACTGATTTAAACCAAAGTGTATTCATAGGTATCAGACTTGTTAGGCCAAACTTTGCAGATTCTTTACACTGGTTTAAAAAAAATGGTGCTTCATTTTTCTTTCAGTTTTGCTCTAATTCTCAAAGCTGACAATAAACTTCATTAATACATTTTAAAGTTTTCTTCTAAATGTGACGAAATGCTCAATGATAAAGAATATTTTTTTTTTCAAAACCATTGAAAATGACTAAACTTTACATATTTTTTCTCTGTTTCCTTTACTGTATGGTTTAAAATCAAACATTAGCCGTACAGAGTATTAATCCCTTAAAATAATCGGTGTCACATCAGTCTAGCAACACTAGGAATATCTAATCCTCTGCCTTAGGAAAATATGTGATTATATAGATGTTACTTCCAAACTTTGTATAAATTCTGATTTTTGATAAAACTCACACTTCTACAATGCAGCTACAACCTGACAACGGCTGGTAGCTGCAAATCAAAGTGAATCACAATCATTTTCTTTAAAACATATGTAACTGAGAAGCTAAACTTAGTGTTTAACAAAGAAATGCAAGTGTAAGGGAAGGTTAAGAACATTAGACATCTATGTTGTTTTATCTGTTCTTATTCTAAACCTAAACATTTTGCTCTAACACCCGGACTTATTTGCGAAAGTCCTGCATAGTTTCACCTCTGTGCCGCGTTGCCACAGCTTCTACTCATCTGAATCTGCAGAATTCAGTCAGTTGATGTCAGATTACTTCCAGTTTGTGCATGACACCTCCAACTTTACCTCAATGCTCTGAGTTAGCAGTATTTATTTGTCAGCAGCGGCACAAGTGCCGTCATTTGAGCCCGCACCGACACAAACAGAACAGACAGACACAGCTGAGGGTATAGAGGAGGTCACAAGAGAGGGACCATCTGATGCCAGCAGATGGAGTGATGGAGGGAAGAGAGCAGAGGAGAAGCTGGAAATCAGGGCGGCACAAAGTGAATGCTGGGAGGCTTTTCTAAAGGCACTAATTTCACTTCCCATCCTTTCTGCTCCAGCGAGCCCACCTTATGCTACACTTTGGGGAGGAGGAGATAAAATATCTGACAACACTGACACTTGAATAACTGAACTTTACATTTTGCTAAACAATCAGGAAAAATGAATCAGGAAAATAATTATTTAGTTGGAATCAGCATAAATCTTAGAGCGAAGGATGAGGCCCATTTACTGGATCAATAGGGTATCTGTGAATTGTTAAGCTGCATCAGCACAAATTTAGAAAGCCACTTGCTTTTCTGTCACCTAATGTCACCTCTGTGTTTCTGTCTCTTTGTTGAAGAATGGAGCAGTTCCAGGGGAGCCCGTGAAGAAGGATGAAAACTCCCGCAGGGGAAACTGGGGCAACCAGATTGAGTTTGTACTTACAAGTGTGGGCTACGCAGTGGGCCTCGGCAACGTCTGGAGGTTTCCTTACCTCTGCTACAGAAATGGAGGAGGTATGCATTTCAGTTACCTGTTTGATATAAAAACAAAAAAAAACAATGATGCTGTAACGGTAGCCTAGACCTGTGCACTGTATTAGGCATATTTAGGATATATAGAAGGTGAGCTTTGTACAAATTGATATTGCTGTCAAAGATATTAATCTCACATAGCTCAATGTCAAAAAGTAATTGGTAGTGGCTGCATCATGCTGTGGGGGTGGTTTTCTTCAGCATAGAAAAGAAAGCTGTGTAGATGTTGGGGGAAATTACTATGGATGAATAAAATGGTAATCTTGGAAGAAAATCTGGAGGAGGGGGTGCAGAATGAAGGGGAACTTAAGGTTACAGAACACCCCACTTCTGTCTCAGGTGCTGTGTCCTTGAGCAGGACACTTCCCTTCAATTGCCTACTTGCATTACTTAGTCATGGGGCATAGTGGCACCTGAGTATGGCAGCCTCACCGTGCCCCACTGCAGCTGTGGTGGCAATGTACAGTAGCTTGCCGCCATCAGTGTGTGAATGTGTGCGTGGATGGGTGAATGAATGAATATAGTGTAAAGAGCTTTGGATTCCCCTGACTTGTAATGTTGGAATATAAGTACCAACAATTTACCAAAACATTTGAGATGTGATGGAAGCTCATCTTCTAGCAGGACAGCAACCTTCCGCAACCCAGGGAAAATGGTTTAGAACAATACAACAGACATGTTATAGAATGGCCTGGTTAAAGACAAGTATTAAATATACTGTATGTGATAAGAATGCTGGAACACTTAAGTTAGAGTTTAGCAATGGCTATTAAAGCCGAGACAAGTTGTAAAAATAATATCAGCCTGATGTACAAATTGGGTAAAAACAAAACCCAGACTTTCTGTGCTTGTAGCAGGAATCCTCTAGAAACTGTTGGTACAGGGAGGCTAAACATACAAGTCATGTTTAATATTTATATTTTTTCAAGGAAATATAGAAATTTGGGGAAGCTTATTCAAGGCTGGCCATGCCTGGATGCTATTTTAGAATCAAATTTGAGCTTTTTCTTTTTTTTTTATGATAATGCTTTAAAATACATTTTGAGCCTAAGGGAAGTTGTTGACTATATGCAAGATTTCCAAGTAAAACACAAACACAAAAAAGGGACTAAAACTACTCCAAGCTGGGGTTTTAACAACCAATCAAACTGTGGACAATATCTGGGGACACAGTAAAAATTTTAGTACGTTTAGTAATCAAAGTAACATGAAACTTAAATATTTACCAGGAAGAGAACAGGAAATAAAGCAAAGCAGAGTTATAGAATGAACCCGTATAGAACAATGGAGGCCAGAAGTGTTCTATGCTGAGGCAGGGACAGAAAATTACATTTGAATCAGATCAGTTTATTTAAGGGACTGTTTAAAGATTGTGGCAGACTAAGAGAAGGGATACTTGGGAAGTCTAATTAACAAAAGAAAAATACAATTAGAGGTTAACTAAACACTAAGGAGCGAAAGCCTAGCACTAGAATGCACTTTAAAATGCACAATCGTAACATAAGGGACTGCTTTAGAGAACCACAGCCCCAGTCGGCCTCCGCAGATTGCTGAAGTAAGTGTGCTTTTTTCTGGGGTGCAGTGTGAGATGGCTGCTCACACTGAGCCTGGTTCTACTGGAGGTTTCTTCCTGTTCAAAGGGAGTTTTTCCTCTCCACTGTCGCTACAAGCATGCTTAGCATGTTGGATTACATTTGAGTCAATGAGTCGATACAATCAACTGGTTTTCCTTAGATAGGAAACTTTGAATCAATTTGACTGCATGATGTGGTTGAACTGTAAAGTGCCTTGAGATGACATGTGTTGTGAATTGGTGCTATATAAATAAAATGAATTGAATTGAATTGAAAATGAAAATATCGTGGATTTATAACAGGTTCGAAATGAGACAAAAATAAATGCAAAATAAAAACATCAACAGATCCACTTAGATTTGTCTCCAATCAATATTAAGCATTTCTTACTTAGATCTGCTGCTGCATTTAGGTTGTTACCTCCAGCTATTGTAGTAATAATGCAATTGAAAAAGATTCCATCACTATTACAGAATTCTGACTTTGAATCATTTCATATAATGAGCTCCCTTGATGCTTATTAGGTTTCAGAAATAGCGGGCTGTATTTAAACTACATAATCACTATTTGTCCTTTTGCATGTGTACGATAATTTTTTGGGATGACAGGTTTATGTTAAAACCAAGGTATTTAAAATTCAATGTATACCAGGTATGTTCATGTCCTTTAACCTGAACTAGTGGGTCATCTGTGTTCAGAGGTGGGTTTTCCAGGTTTAGGAAGTTACTGTAAAAGATAAGATACGTTTCAGCTCTCATATCTCTTACCAACAACATAGACAAGCATTTATATATCAAACATCTCAAACTCTAGTTCTCAGGCTGGTATCCTGAAACTTTTAGATGTGTTTCTCTTTCAATACACCTTACTCCTGTGCTCATTAGCAGATTTCCTTAAACCCTAACTACATGCCAATAAGGTAGTTTATCCATTTGATTCAGGTGTGTAAGGCAAGGGACACATCTACAAGTTGTCGGCCCTTAAAAAACTGAGTTTAACAAAACTGGTTTCAAATCACCTGGTTAAGTGAACAGAAAGAGGGAAAACTTGATAGGGTTTTACTTACTAATGCCAACTATCGCCCTCTATCTTAAAAAACATTTGCACTTCTTGATCTTAATGACAGTTTGTCACAATACAAATTAGACCTTTAGTGTGTTTTATTGTTTAAACAGGCTTCATATTGCTATAGACTATTTATTCTGATAAGATGGCAATTTTTTCCAAATGTTGGGGGCTCCAAATTGCAGATGAAAAGAAATTATAATTATTTTTTGTGTGGCAGAACACTGAGAAATGAGAGGTAAGAAAACAGTGTGAGAGTAAGACAAGGAAGAATGATAGCGATACCATATGGGTCACAGAAGAAGAAGTCCACTGTATGTGCAAGAGCTGAGGAAATAAGGGAATATATAGATTTTGTTAGCATAAGTCCTAAAGATAAGAAGATTTCGGCGAAAGAAGACAATGAATATCCAACTGATGAAGAGGAAAAAGAAGGCATAAAATCAGGGAATCCAGCTTATCCAACTGCCCCACCTGGTATCTAATTATCCTTGGTAAGAATTCCAAAACAGAGACATTAGAGTTAGTTCTCTGTAACATTTTGCTGCTGAGCAAAATAAACATTGCCTTTAGCTCTCCTAAAAGTGATGACTGCAATCAGTATGGTAAATTAAGTTATTTTTCTGAATTTGTAATAAACTGAAATTGATGAAAATGTATTATTAAATACAATTATAAAAAATTTAAAACATAATTTTATTTTTGAAAAAAAAAAAAAATATATATATATATATATATATATATATA